AATATTATTCACTTTACTCTGAATTTGCTTTTATTCACCTCACAGTATATTATGAGCACCCCTCCCACGTGGGACATTTAAATATCCTATATATCATTTTCCACTGCGCATGCCTGTTCATGCAAATGTGTACCACACTTTATTAAGTCACCTGTTCATGGCATTCAGATTGTTTATGGTTTATGGTCATGAAAAAATAATGCTACGAACAGCATTACGTGTATACACGTTCTTTACCAAATGTGACTTTTTAAAAAAGATTTTATTTGTTTTTAGAGAGGGAAGGGAGGGAGAGAGAGAGAGAGAGAGAGGGAAGGGAGGGAGAAAGAGAGAGAGAGAGAAACATCAATGTGCAGTTGCTGGGGGTCATGGCATGCAACCCAGGCATGTGCCCTGACTGGGAATCGAACCTGCGACACTTTGGTTCGCAGCCCACGCTCAATCCACTGAGCTATGCCAGCCAGGGCCCAAATGTGACTTTTAGTGTAAGTTAGACTTCTAGAACTGGAAAATTGCCGTAAAACATATAGTCTTGATTCAAATAATTGCTGTCACATTTATTTACCAAAACAGTCAAGGAATTCTCACCCCTACCACAAAAATAAGGGAAAGTTTCTATCTCCGAGTATTTGTCAGCAATGGTTGTTTTTGCTTATTCAAGTCATATTTCAATTTAACAGGTAAAATGAAAGGTATCTCATTATTGTTCTAATTCCATATCCTAGCGGGGGGAGAATGTAAATCCCAAGCAAAAAGAAGCGTGCCCGAGAACCTGAAATTCCGAGCCGCACACACTAGTGTCTCCTTCTGCACCCGACCCTGGTCTGAGACCTGCATTCCTCCTCACAGACGTCTGAGAAAGTTGGAAATAGCCAGTGTTTCCTTAGTAGTGTTTTCTTTCAGCTCAGTGGCATTATGTCAACTGTTATTACAAGGAAAGGCCATCGGCCCACCAGTTTAAAAAGGAAAAGGTGTGTCCAGCAGCTAAAATAAATAAAAGGGCAAACACATAGAAACAGTTTTAAAACCTAAGGGTGACAATAGCACTGAGGAAGCTGGTAGGACAAAGCCAAACTCAACGCATATAAACTCAGGCTGTCTCCTGAACTCGTTCAGCCCAGTTTTTGAAATTAAATACAGGACTACCTTGGAAAGGTCTGATGGTGGCAATGATATTAAAGAGGATTTCAAAAGTGTATTAACTGGCCCCGGCTGGTGTGGCTCAGCACCAGATTACCAGTGGATTGAGCACCAGACTGCAAAGCAAAGGGTCGCCAGTTGGATTCCTAGTCAGGGCACATGCCTGGGTTGCAGGCCAGGGCTCTAGTATAGGGCACATGAGGGGCAACCACACATTGATGTTTCCCTCCCTCTCTTCCTCTCTCCCTTCCCCTCTCTCTAAAAATAAATAAATGAAGTCTTTTTTTTTTTAAAGTGCCTTTATTGTGGTCCTTCTTTTGGGCTCACTTGATATGAATAATTTCAGAACTATTCATGACTAATGAAAGTGTGATCAAGCATAAACTATGCACCACACTAATGTATAAACACACCTAACTTCATTGTACAGCTAAACAAAAATTGATGCAACAGCAAAGTTTCAGTTTTTTAAAGTCTTCAAAGAGTGAGCAAATAAATTTCTGTTGTTTAAGCCACAGTCTATTGTATTTCACTGTAATAACCCAAACAGACTGGGACCATAAACAACCCAGATAATTTCTGATGCCTTTCATTGGTTTCAGAACAATGAAGAAGACCCCCCCAAAAAAAAGCCTTTTCTAAACATATTTTTAAAGATTTTATTTATTTATTTATTTATTTATTTATAGAGAGGGAAGGGGGAGAGAGAGAGAGAAACATCAATGTGCAGTTGCTGGAGGTCATGGCCTGCAACCCAGGCCATGACCTAACCCTGACTGGGAATCGAACCTGCGACACTTTGGTTTGCAGCCCGTGCTCAATCCACTGAGCTACACCAGCCAGGGCATAAAAAAAGCCTTATCATACATTGCAATGATCACCCAAGAATGAATTTTAGTAAAATATTTGACATGTATAAATGTAAAAGTAACTGAAAGTTAGAGAATGGTATGTACCAAAGTAGAGAAGAAGGAAAAAATTAAAATGTGAGTTGTAAATTACTTTTAATACAAAAAAATTATGGTCTCTAAAAACTTTTATTCAGCTGGTGTTTCCTTTGACAAGAGACTCTTTAAGTGTTATTATCGTTGACAAAGCTTGACATCATTTCAATGTAAATGCCCCATTCTCTTATTAGATTTCATCAAGGCTTGATGACAAATTGTCTAAGTGTTACCTTTAAGCTATAGCAGGTCCTAGAATTAGGTGGTTTGGTTCAACATTGTTTTGTTTTAACATGACAGGTTATGGGAACCTACTATTGTTTGTATCAATGGGCCTGTAGTAAAATTGATTTCATTATACATCATTTCACGTAAAGTTGAAGACTTTATCGAAGACATTACATGAGGGCTTCGTGCACAGTAGTCCCCCCAATCCACAGTTGGCTCTCCTCGGTTTCAGCTACCCACAGTCAACTGCTGTCTAAAAACCTTAAATGGAAAATTCCAGAGATAAACCATCCATAAATCTAAATTTTGAGTTGTTTTGAGTAGCGTGGTGAAGTTTTGAGCCCTCCCACTTTGCCCCACCCAGGACCATCCTCGTCCAGCATGTCCATTCTGTGTACGTTCCCCGTCTGTCAGGCACTTAGTACCCCACTCACCTATCAGATATTTTGAGGGAGAGAGAGAGAGACATACACATAGCTCTTCTTTCAATACATTGTCATAATTGTCCTATTGTATTATTAGTTATTTTTTCCATCTCTTATTGTGTCTAATTTATAAATTAAACTTTATCAGAGGTACAAACATATAGGTAGAAACAGTATAAATAAGGTTCAGTACTATCCCCAATTTCAAGCATCCACTGGGGGTCTTAGAAGGTATCACCCGAGGACACGGGGGGACTGTTGTATAGCCCCAGTGCACTTTCTACACTGGAGGTGGAAAACACCCTTTCAAGTGTTCTTTATGAAGCATAGGACCCCACAGGAAAATAAATGTCATTTATTTCTCATATGTCTCATAATATGACATTTTTATGTAAACTTAGTCATCAGAAATTTGCAAACCAAAATTAGCATGATAACAGTCCTCAATTTCATCCTCGTTGTAGATCCCTTGAATGAAAAACTGACAAATGTGACGCAGGCTTTACCCATTTACAGTATGATGCCTGAAATGAACGTCCTAGAGCACATTTAGAAACCCAAATCTAAGTCCCTTTCTCACATTCACCAACTTTTAAAGCAGTAAACAGAAGGATATTCTAAGCCCAAGGATGCTTGACATTTTCAAAACAAAACGAGAGACTTAAGTAAGATAGTAATTCTGTTCTTCTGAAGGTAATGACTTGTTCTTTTCATTTTCTTTTTATTTGTTTCCTTCAAAGTCTGCATTTACGTCACTCAGTTGCTGGCCTTAAGATGCCAGTAATTTCTAGGGCATTCTGACATACTTGTCATCATCCTCTCTCTAACAGCTTGAAGAATTGTCAGAGTAGTACTTGGACTTCTAAAAACTTCAACTCTAAAATGTATTCTTTCATACTTTGTGAGGCTTTTTATTGATAATCATGAGCTTCATGAATTGAATGTTACTTTTTCCTCTGGTAAAAACTTTGCAAGTAAAATTCTGTTTCATTCTTCATTGTATTATTTTACTCTGATATACACATTCAAATAGATTTTCCATACTGTGCAGTAACGTATCACATGTAATGTCTCATTTGTAACTGGGTTAGCATACACTGTTTCTAGCATACACTGTTTCTAGGCACCACGAAGGAAACTTGTTATGCCCATGTTAGAATATTACCAGAGTAACAGGACTAAATGATTCATCGGGTCCCTGGTCACAGTGCTCAGTGGGGCAAGTGGCACTGAACTGAGGGCTCAGGAGACTGATGCAGTTGGAAAGTCTCTTTGAGAGGTCACAAGAGACTCTCTCCCAAAACACAAAAGTATCACAAAGGAGAATGTGCTTGGCCAAGGGAAAAGAAAATATGAAAGGCACCGAGGCAAAGACCTAAGGCACTGCTCTCCGGGAATGCATGTGCAGGCTTATCATCCTCTGGGAGTTTTAAGAAGGAAAGGAAAATGGTCCACATGACAATACCTTTTCCTGAATACTGCAGAGGGTTAAAATATAACCTATGGCTGCCCTAGAGGACAGAGCTACCAGCACGAGAATGACAGGAGGACATTGGGAAGTGATACCTGCATCTGAGAAGGAAAAACTCGTGCATCTGCAGTCACTGCCCCTGAGAAAGACTTCCATAAAGATCAAGGATTTGGCGGCATGGAAAAGAGGAACTCTCTGCTCTGTGTAGAAGCCTCTGATATTGTCTTATATTGTTTTATTCATTCAGCTAGTATCTATGATTGCCTCTTGTGAATGAGCTACTAGAGAAGGATACAGCCCTGAACAAGCATAGGATTGTCCTCACACAGTTTGCCTTCTAATAAGCAGATAGATTCCCCGCTCACCTGCCTTTTCTCCTTTTGTGCCTCCTTTGCTGGTTCTCCCTCATCTGCTGATCCCCTAGATTCTGGAGTGCTCCGGAGCCCAGTCCCTGGGTTGCTTCTCTCTTTTATCCATACACTTCCTCTACTGGATCTCATCCAGTCACATGGCTTGAAGTACCAGCCACACACTAGTGACTCCTCAATCTACATCTCCAGTTGGAGCCGCCCCTCTGAATTTCAAACACCTGCCCAACAAATTCAACTGGAAGGCATTTCAAACAAGATGATTAAAACTGAACACCTCGTAACCACCTATCTGTCCCTCTCCAAAGTTTTCCCCATCGAATACAACAACCGCCTTCTCTCGTTTATCAATAAAAAACTCTGGGCATCATCCTTTGATGTGTTTCCTTCTTTTACGCCCTATAAAAAGTTGTCAGCAAATTCTGTGCTCACTTTGGCAGCATATATACTTTAAAAATTTGGAACGATACAGAGAAAATTAGCATGGCCCCTGCGCAAGGATGACATGCAAAAGTTGTCAGCAAATTCTATGTCCTCTGTCTTCAGAATCTGTCCACAATTTGGTTGTTTATCACACATCAATCTAATCCAAAAAAATTATTTTTGCCTATGTTATTTCAATCACCACCTCACCATCTTCCCTGTTTTAAATGTTTGTCCAGCTTCAGTGTATTCTCCAAAGTGCTGAAATATTCTCTTCAAACAATCATATTCCTAGGGTATAATCCAAGCAGTGGAATTGCTTTGTCAAAAGGCAGTTCCATTTTTAATTTTCTGAGGAAATTCCATACACCAGTTCAAAAGAACCTATGCACCCCAATGTTCATAGCAGCACGATTTACAATAGCAAAGAAGTGTTGGAAGCAACCTGAGTGCCATCAGTAAATGAGCGGATAAAAAAACTGTGGTACATTTGCACAATGGAATACTATGAAGCCGAAAGAAAGAAGGAGCTCCTACTCTTCATGACAGCATGGATGGAACTGGAGAGCATTACTCTAAGTGAAATAAGCCAGGCAATGAAAGGAAAATACCATATGATCTCACTTATATGCAGAACCTAATCAACAAAACAAACAAGCAAGCAAAATAGAACCAGAGACACTGAAATAAAGAACAGACTGACAGTAACCAGAGGAGAGGGGGGAGGAGGATAATGGGGGGAAGAAGGGGAAGGGTCATCAAGGAACATGAATAAAGGACCCATGGACAAAGCCAAAGGGGGTTAGGATTGAGTGTGGGAGGTGGGGGGGGGGATGCTGGTGTGGTGGGGGGTAAAAATGGAGACGAGTGTGCTTGAACAATAAAAAAAGAGAGAGAGAAAATCATATTCCTCTACTCACAACCTTCCAGTGGTTTTCCAGCTCACTCAGAATAAAAACTGGGGTCCTATGCGATCTGGTCCCCATTACCCCTTGGAGCACATCCCCTCCTACTTCCCCTTTGCAATCCATCCTAATGAAGCTGGCCTTACTGCTGCGCATTGACAGAGTAGACAAGCCCCTTGCTCAAGGCTTTGCACTTAATGTTCCCTCTTTGCCGAAAATGTTCTTTTCCAAATAATCTAAATGGTCTCAGAAAGCAGTGGCATGCACACTGAAAAGTTTAATGTTTGTGTTTCTTTTAGAATGCTTAGAACTTAGATGAGTCATTATTTTGTACTGACTCCATGCCCAATTTTGTTACGTTAGCAAGGTTCTCCACATACAAAGGGGGACCCCCCAAAACTGAAATTATCTTCTGGAGGACCGGCCCCTTGTAACACAGGCTTCCCCCGCTACGTGAGTGTTCTAGGAACCCATCTGTATCAGTGCACCAGCTGGTGTTGGTATGAGAGGTTGTGTTCAGCTTCAGTGAGTGTTTTATTGAAGAGTCAACACATTTGCCCGTTTCATGATGGGTGATTTACGAGAGCACCTGCCCACACCACAATGAGTGTTCAGCAATTTTTTACCAAAAACGGTATGACCCCTGTGCTCTACATGCCCTATTCACTCCATCTTGCCCCAACAAATTTTTTTGTTTGTTTCTCCAGATGAAAACATCCTCCAAGGGAAACATTTTGACAATGTGGAAGAGGTAAAACAAAAAACAGCAGAAGTACTAAAAGGCATCAAAACCAAGAAGTTCAAAAACAGTTTTGAGCAGTGTGAAAATGTGTAAAAAGGTTTATTGCATTAAGTGGACAGTACTTTGAAGGTGACTGAAGTTTAAACATTAAGAATAAATACATGAGTTTTTTTAAGATTTTATTTATTTATTTATTTATTTTTTAGAGAGGGAAGGGTGGGAGAGAGAGAGAGAGAAACATCAGTGTGTGGTTGCTGGGGGCCATGGCCTGCAACCTAGGCATGTGCCCTGACTGGTAATCGAACCTGTGATACCCGGTTCACAGCCTGCACTCAATCCACTGAGCTACGCCAGCCAGTGCAATACATGATTTTTTATAAATAAATTCTAGGGGTTTTTAGGTCTCCCATTGTACAATTACCTTACAGGTGCTTTAAGTCTTGTTTTAAGCCTTTTTCTCCATTCAGAGAATTCTAATTCTAACCACCACCACTATAGATTTGACATTCATTTTTGTCAGATCCTAACTTTAACATAAATCAGAGCTTAACAAGCAAGAAATATGAATGCATTTTTGAAAGATCAAAAATGGATGGAACTGGGTCAATAAATAACACAAGCCAGGAGAGTCTTGAACAACTGCTCAGTACCTGCAGAGTTAAATGCCAACCTTATGGATAGAACATCTTATATCATGGTTTGCCCAGCACAGACTTGAACGATGAAAACATTTTGCTAAGTGAAAGAAGCCACAGCCTATCATGAGATACCACTGATATGAAATGTCCGGAATAATTAAAACATAGACACAGGAGCTAGTGCTTCCTGGGGGCTGGAGGAAGGAGGAAATGGTGACTGGCGGCTAATGGGGATGGCTCCTCTGCGAGGGATGAAAGTATTCTGGAATTGGGTAGTGGTGATGGTTGCACAATTCTGTGAATAAACTAAAAATCACTACACTGTAACTGTATACTTACACTGAATTTATGGCATGTGAATTATATCTCAATAAAGTTTGTATTTTTAAAAATGTAAGGGTTAATCAGTTTTAAAAGACATTTATATAAATATCTTTTAAGAGACAAGAAAACGTTAGAGAGATACAAAAAAAATCGTTATCAGGATTCAGGAAAAGGATCATCACTTTCAGTTGGGATTATTATGGGGTCTTAGGATAAGATACAGCAATCAAACTGAACACTGAGAGATAAATGGTACTGGGGGGGATTTTTTTTTAATGGGAGGACAAGGTAAAGAAAGAAAATACCAACGAGTGGGAACAAATGTATAAGCAAAAACCTAGAGGTGGGAAATGGAGAAGAGGAAAAACTATAAAAATCCCACAGAGTTGTAAATGAAGTGTCAATGAGGACAAGAATGCCACATTAATTATTTGTAAGTCATTCATTAGACCAGAATTTTTCCACCTTAGCATTACTGACATTTTGGGCCAGATCATTTTTCACTGCAGGGAGCTGTCCTATACATTGCAGGGTGTTGAATAGCATCGTGGGCACCTCTGCCACAGTTATGACAATCAAATATGTCTGCAAATGTCCCCTTGGAGGAAGCATCGTTCCAGCTGAGAACTACTGTCTCAACAAAAGAGAGTCATTGAGGATTTGACGGGAAGAGTGAGATAAAAACTAAAATTAAGAAAGATTAAACTTGCCAAACTTCACATTCTAACCAGGTAGAGGTAGCTAGGAGAAAAAAGCTAATACACTTTTGCAATATTCCTAATCAAAGATAATAGGGTTCTGAAACATAAAAGTTATAGAACTGCAAATTAAAAATTAAATGATATTTATCTGTGGAGGGAGACACTCATTATGGGTATAGATTCAAGGAACAGGAAAAACAAGAATCAAAGATGACCTTGATATGTTGGACCTAACAGACCAAGTAGTGACTGTAAATAATACAGGAAATAGTGATAAAAGCAGATTTAGGAGGAAAGATGATACATTCAATTATTTAAATTGATATATAAAATGTGCTAAAGAAATGTCCAGATGGAAATGTCAAGCCAGGAACTGGAAAACTGAGGCCGAATTGTGAGGAACAATTCAGGACTTAGAGATTTAGCAGCAGTTTACACTGCAAGTAGAGCTGAAGTGCTGAGATTGGACTGCCTGGGAGGGGAACTGAATAGAGAATAGAAAAGGAAGCAGCCACGGGCAGATGCCCCTGGGACACCCACATCTAGATGAGTATCATACACAAAAGAAGAAAAATAGACTGCTTAGAGGAGTAGCAGAAGAACAAGACAATAAGTATCTAAAGAGACACAAAGGAGAGCTTCCGGCAAAGAAAGTGGCTGGGTTGGGTGGGTAGTGGTGTCGGCTGGCACAAATTAAAGGGTAGGACAAGAGAGAGAACACTGCTAGGAGCTTCAGGGAAGAGTAAGTTGCCGGGGTGGTGGGTGAAGATCGAAGCATTAACACGACGAGGACAGAAAAGAAAACAAAATTTTAAACACATAGGTGCTAGAAAATGGATATTTAAGGTCTTTGGTAAAGGGGGGAAAAGAAATAGGGTGATTGTGTTTCTCAAACAGAAGTGCATGTTTGTGAATGAATGTGAAATTAAATGAGAGTAACTGAAAATGTAAGAAAAGTGGACAGAGCCGAAAGCACTGATAGTGAATGGAGCATGGCTCCCGAGGAGATGGGAGTGTTTGGAATTAAAAGTACAGACGTTCAGTTTTGTAAAAGAGGAATGTATCATTCTCTAAAAAGAGATAACACACCACGGTAATACATTACAAGTTCTGTCACCAAAGAGCAATCGGGGTCCTCCTTCCTTCCCACCACCATCACTCTCCAGGCCAAATTCTAGAGGCAAAGTTTCATTGATAAAGGAAAGAAGTCTTTATTCAAAAAACCTACAGAATTTTGGAATAACAACTTTCCACACCCATTAGTCACTTAAGCCCATCAATTAAAGCTAAAATCCTTAACTCTTTAGTTATAGCTTTAATCCCTTAAGCCTATCAATTAAGGCTAAACTCTTTAGTTACAGCTTTAATCATTTAAGTCTATCAATTAAGGCCATAGTCTTTAACTCCTGAGTTCCCCTATCATTCCCTTGTTAGTTTTTGATGATCTTATTTCTATAGGATTAGTTTACAAAAGAGCGTTGGAAACTACACAATGTTGGAAGAAAGGCAGGCTTCTGCCTCAGATCCCAGCTCTTCTAAAACACCCAGTGAAGAACAACCCTGCCCCCCTCTGCCAGGCCAGCCCGATCCTGGCAGCACCCAGAATTTCTTCACCCATCCAAAACACAGTCCTTTGGGAAAGGCAGGCAGCTGCAGCACTATCACCCAGGCACGCTCCAGGAAAAGAGAGTCAAAAAGTCAGTCTCTGTCCTTCCTTTATTTTAAATCTTCTGGCCCATAATTCCATGAGCTCCAGAGGCGTTCAGCTAGTGAGCCAACCCCACCTGAGACCATTTACCATTG